ATAATAAAAATATGTGTGAATGCACCTGGAGAAGAGAGGAGTGTAGAGGAAAGAGAGAGATTTAGGGAGATGTTGAGTGTGTAGGAACTTTTGAACCTAGTGAGAGAGTAACCGTGGTAAGGGACCTAAATACTAAAGTAGGAGAGACATTTAGAAAGGGTGTGGTAGGTAAGTTCTGGGTGCCAGGTGTAAATGATAATTGAGCCCTTTGATTGAACTTCGTATACAAAAGGGGTTTGATTATAGGTAATACATATTTTAAGAAAAAGAGGATAAATAAGTATACAAGATATGATGTAGGACGTAATAACAGTAGTTTGTTAGACTACGTATTGGTAGATAAAAGACAGTTGGGTAAACTTCAAGATGTACATGTTTATAGAAAGGCCACAGATATATCAGATCACTTTTTAGTTGTAGCTACAGTGAGAGTAAAAGGTAGGTGGGATACACGGAAAATAGGAGCAACAAGTAAGAGAGAGGTGAAGGTTTATATACTAAAAGAGGAGGCAGTTAAGGTAATATATAAACTATTGGAGGATAGGTGGGCTAGTGAGAGTATAAGCAATGGGGTTGAAGATGTATGGGGTAAGTTTAAAAATGTAGTCTTAGAGTGTTCAACAGAAGTTTGTGGTTATAGGAAAGTGGGGGAGGGAGGGAAGAGGAGTGATTGGTAGTATGATGATGTAAAGAGAGTGGTAAGAGAGAAAAAGTTAGCATATGAGATGTTTTTACAAAGTAGAAGTGATACAAGGAAGGCGGTGCATATGGAGAGGAAAAGAGAGGTAAGAGAGTGGTGAAGCAATGTAAAAAGAGAGCAAATGAGAAAGTGGGTGAGATGTTATCAACAAATTTTGTTGAAAATAAGAAAAAGTTTTGTAGCGAGAATAATAAGTTGAGGAAGCCTAGAGAACAAATGGATATGATTGCTAAAAATAGAAGAGGAGAGTTATTAAATGTAGAGTTAGAGGTATCGGGAAGATAGAGGGAATATTTTGAAGAATTGTTAAATGCTGATAAAGATAGGGAAGATGTGATTTCGTGTATAGGACAAGGAAGAATATTACACATCAAGAGGAATAACTCAGCATTTACATTAAAATTTTACTAGTAATTGTCGGTAAATAAATTTAATACTGTTGTATATTGCTATTAATTTGGGGGGGATAAAGGTGAATTTTTGGAATATTAATAAGGGGAGGATTTAAAAGACTGGAAAAGAAACCTGGATTTATGCAAAATAATAAAGGCCCCAAAAAAAATTAATTTTTTTTTTTTCAAATTAATTAAATTAAATTATATTGTAATTATATAATATTAATTTTATTAAATTTTAATTATTATTATTATTATTATATTATTATTATTATTATTATTATTTTTATTTTAAAAATTAAAAATTAAAATATTTTTTATTATTATTTTTAAATTATTATTATTATTATTATTATTATTATTATTATTTATTTATTATTAAATTTATTATTTTTAAAATTATTATTATTATTATTTTAAATTTAATAATTAATAATAATATTTTTATTATTATTATTATTATTTTATATTATTTATTATTATTTTTATTTATTATTTATTATTATTATTATTATTATTATTATTATAAATGATTATTATAATTATTATTATCACTATTAATTAGGTATAATAAATATAAATATTTATAAAGAATTTCTGTTTGTCAAATTTGCCTAAGTATATAATTAAATCAAGTTTACTTACCATTAATAGCATGCACCTCCCATGATTATCCACTCGTTCATTATTCTCAAAATTCAAAATACAGCAAGTTTACAAAGAGACTACAAGAGGGTTCAGAAAATAATTCACAACTGGCCACAAGGAGCCAGTTATCATCTCTACGACAAGTAAATAATGACTAGTAATTATGCGAGTCGACTTACAGTGAAATCTTGACAGCTGGGAGGCTTTGGGGGGGGGAGGCTGTATGTAGGGACGAGAAAGAGAGAGAGAGAGGAGAGAGAGAGAGAGAGAGAGAGAGAGAGAGAGAGAGAGAGAGAGAGAGAGAGAGAAGAGAGAGAGAGAGGAGAGAGAGAGAGAGAGAGAGAGAAGGGGGAGAGAGAATGGGGAGACGGAAGACGAGAGGAGAGAAAAATGTGGAAGAATAGAGGAAAGGAGGAAGGAGAATGTTGGGCATTAGATACCTGCAGGTCCTAGTACATTTTAGCTT